TGGTCCCTGCTCAGGAAAATGGAGGCAAAGAAATCATTAAATAGGTTAGCCTTGTCATCTGGTGCGGCAACCAGATTTCCTAGCGTGTCTTGCAGAGGCCCCATGTTACCCGGTACCTGCTTTTTGCCCCCTATGTATTTAAAAAAGGACTTCTTGTTGTCCTTGATCTGGGTAGCTAGTCCCAGTTCCATCCTGACCACCCCCCTGCAGCCCCACATCAAAACTACAAAAGAAAGGATAGTTTGAATAGTAGAACATCAAGACCACTAAAAGGGAGGAGGATTGTTAACAAGGAGTGGAGAGAGATTAATAGGAACCGGGGAGACAATGAGCCATGAATGAGCTCTCTCATCACTGCCTGAATAGCAGTGCTGCTGCCCCTCCCAGGCATCTGATTTTAGGGTGGAGCAGGAATCAAAGTGTGTGTGTGTGGGGGGGTGCAACTACACCACTGCACCTACCCCCCACATCCCCCCCATTTCCACCCTTGAAATTGCCACAGAATGTAAAATGTTCCTCATCTCACAGCTTCTTCAATTTTGTGAACATATGCTCTGTTTTAAAACTTAGTTCAACTCGTCACTTATGAAACACTTTGTTCTGTATTTTAAAACAAACTGATTCTAAAGCTCTTCAGATGAGGAAAGTAACTTTTGGTCTTTTGACAGAACTGTAGGTTTTTTCTGTGGCCCGTCTCTCCATTTTGTGAACCCCGTGTTCATTAATGTATTTCCCCTCATAACTTGCCTGTAAGGTAAGAAAGGAGTAACTGTTAATTAAGTGAATAATGCACTGAGCTGGCATACAGGAAAGGCAGCACTGTTACAAGACTTTTTTCTGACGTGACTGATCCATCTGAGGTATGCAGTTAATAGCAGCATTCACTGTAGTTTTAGGGATAGTTTAGAAAGACGTCCATGGTCTGGTTTGCATAGGGATGATCCTGCTTTGAGTAGGGGCTTGGATTAGATGGCATCCTGAGGTCCCTTCCAGCCCTACTTTTCTACGTTCTGTAATTCTGTGAGCATAATTGTCCTATGGGGGTTGGGGGTAGAATTAAAACCAACACTGAATCTACCCAATTTCATTGTTTGTACTTCTTCTTTAATGGCAGACTGTTTCTATATTGAGCCCATGATGCCCTTGGAAAACAGAACGGTGGGAAAGCATGATTTCAATTTCACTCTGGACTTTCATAGGTGAGGGGGAATACTTGGTTCCTGCACTTGTGTACAAAATATTATTACTGTGAAAAGCTAATACAAAATTGCCTTCCAGACTTGTAACAGTGCAGCTTATGTTTAATCTGAAGGCAATCAATCTCCAGACGGTTCGTCACCATGAACTCCCAGACTGTTATGATTTTACTTTGACTGTAAGTATAAGCTTAGATGTATCTTTATTTATCACTGTGAGAAATAATTGGTATTGATTATTGTAAGTGCAGTGCAGATCCTAAGGAAAAAAAATTGTAAAAAACATCAGGGACCAGAAATCAGCTGTCATTTGATATATGGCTTGGTTATAGGGTCTATAAATATATGGTGGTGGTGGTGGTGGAAGCCACTAGTCACTTACCTGTGTTGGGACATCACAGAGAACAACAAAACAAACTGATTTGCAGCTTTTCAGTATACTTCAAGGATTTAACCTTCCCCTTTTTGGAACAGTTGTGTGCTGATCAGATCTGAGTGGCACTTTAAATGACTGTCACTATTCTTATTCCAACAGACAGAAATGGGAAAATAAGTGATTCATCAGATTTTTACCTTTTTGTTAATCAGTTTTCAAGTTGATATATGAATATTTTATATCATCTTAGATGCATTTCCAAAGCTGCATAATTTCCCTCAGTAGATAGAAATATCTTCCAAATATACTATGACTGATTAGTGGCATAAAATAGATAAATATTTAGTAACTTTGTATGCACACTTGTAACTGTACAAACTCTT